TTTATTCTAATATTAAAGGCCTTGAGATGTATAATTTATTCTTTAATTATCAAGCAGCTTGAGCTCTGAGTGGTATTTTCATACATGAAAGAGAGGGACAGTGAAAGCAAAAGAGGGAGAGAGGGAAAGAGGTCTAGGAATATTTCACTCTAGTGTTCCTAAAGGGAAAATTAATTGTCTAAACTGTACTATCTTGAGGTTACCTGAAGAAGGGTGTTCATAAAATAAGACTGCTTCCTGCTGCAGAGTTGTTTTCTTGTGTATTACATCGATTTTTTTTTTTTTCAAATATCCATCAAGGAGAGGGAAGTTAATGTTCTGCCAGCTATATATACATATACACACTCATGGGCAGGGAAAGTAAACGTGAAACACATGGGCTCCTGAGAAACTGAACAAAAACATGGAAGGCCTCACTTGTCCCTGGGAATGTGGTAAAGCCAGGAAAGCAGAACCATCATCACTCCATCTTTGCTGGCTTTAGTCCCATGTAAGCATTCTAGAAAACCGTTCCTACCCCTTCTCCCTTCCACTGGGCACCTCTGATGAGATCTGACAAGACTGGCAGGAGACAGTAAACTGGAACAAGGATGCATTCCTTTCCGTCTTCACCCCACTGGGGCCTCAGTATGGAGGATGAGACATCTACGCCAGCCCCGCCCCTCAATCGCTGCAGCTTTGCAGCCCTCACTCTATCTAGAGGGACTGAAGACCTAACAGAAGAGTGGGGAAAGTATTAGGCATCACCAGAAAAGAACTTACCAAAAAAGGATGTGGGGTGCTACCTTGTAAGCCAAAACTCAGTTTTATTTTATTTTTTTTTTTAGTGCTCAGGCTGATGCCAGTCTGGTCGAGCAATGCCAACAAATCAGTAAGTATAGTCCAAGGGATTTATTCTTTTTTTTAAAGTTGAAGATGTAAGGTAGTAAATTACTTTAAGATATATTCTCAGCCAAAGCTGACCTGGGGATGTGTTATATAAGCGTGGTATATACCCATGGGCATATAATCACATACATGTGTATCAAGGAATGAATCTGTCATCCTGCATGTATTCAATCTCTTGTGAAATTCCGGGCACTGGAAGTTGGTAGCTGCAGCAACCACAGCATATGCTATAAGCATTTCAGCTATTAGTATCTGACACTTGGCAGGTACATTCAAGAATGACAACTCTTGGCAAGTTCCATCTTATCCTTGCACACGAATAATAAAGAGAAAGGAATACTTTCAGTCTGGCAGAAATAAGCAACAGGTGCTAAAAGCCTTTGCTGTAGTTTAACAGAAGGGAGTATATTAAACAGTGTGAAATAAGCAAACGTAATTATAACATACTTAAAATGATGGCTCCTGATTAATTCTTGTCTAGACTTGTTCAAAGACCCTGGGGCCAGCACACCTTAGGGGAAGGATTATACTCTTTAAAAATACAGAATGCATAAAATATTTAATAGTATACCCTTCATATAGTAAAAGTCCTTCCGGGATTCTAAAATCTAAGGGCTATTTTTTCAGACGTGGGGCTTTAAGGGTTATCCCATATGTTCAGGGCTTGGAGGCTCCAGCATGTCCTTATCTAGAATCTGTTTGTCTATTCTTTAGCTTAAGGAGCTGAATCCAGTATTTTACTCTCTTCTTGCATTCATTCTAGGTCTTGAAAGAGATTATTTATTGCATCAATGCTGCTATTCACCACGCATGTAAGATTGCTAATGTCAAGAGTAACTTATTCCTGTGTCTCTCCTGGTCTAGAAGCTGTCAATGAAGATGGTATATCCCAAAGTTCCTACAGCTTTGTATCCCTACTGTATCTTTTGTCTAGTGCTTTGTTTGCAAAATGACTAAGAATGCAATAGCATAATTTGACAATTGCAGTAAAACTGACTAGAATATTTAGGCTCTGGAATGAAGATTTGCCAAATTCAGACTGTTTCTAAATTCTGCATATGTGGTTTTGCCTTAATTAAATTTCCCAAGGCTGTTTCTTTTTCTGTAAAGTGAAAATAATATTGAGTTGGCCAAAAATGTCTTTCAGATTTCTCCATTCAGCTGATGGAAAAACCTGAATGAACTTTTTGGCCAACCCAATGAAAGCATTTAGTTCACAGGCTCTTTTGAGAACTGAGTTAAACAATGCATTTATTTGCCTTAGTAAAAATATCACATTGTGTTTATTTGAATATGTTCCTTTTATTTATGTTTTTTAGAGTAGATTTCATTGCAAAGAACTGAGTGGGAATAAGGGTGCTAAGAAAGATCATGTGATATTCAGACTTCTCTAGACGCAATTTCTCTGATAAACTTTCTTCCTGTGTCATGATCTGAGGCTTTGCTAATTAAAGTGTGCTTCATAGACCAGCAGCACTGGCATGGCCTGGGAGCTTATGAGAAAGGCAGAATCTTGAGTCCCATCCCAAGTTGATTCACAGTCTGTATTGTAATGAGATCCCAAGTGATTTGTGCACTTTAAAATTTGAAAAGCTCTGGATGAGACAGCTTCAGTCCTTATCGCCTACTTAATCACGTGGATTAATCACGTGCACTCGGTGAGCTGGCACAACAGGTGGAAGGGGACACGGCAGAGGACACTCCCAGGGGAGCCGTCCAGGGGAGGACCGCGCAGTGGCCGTTCTCCCGGTGGGAGCGCCGGGATCACAGACACAGCGAAGCACCAGACCTGGAGGCCTCTCCTCCAACACCCAGGAAGCAGACCCCACCCCTGCCAGGCGCACGGACGCCCGCAGAGCAGAGGGCGGCCCTGCTCTATAGCCAGGCAGGCTCTGGTCACCGCCACACCAATCCGACTCCCTGCTGCTAAGTCGCGTCAGTCGTGTCCGACTCTGTGCGACCCCAGAGGCGGCCGCCCGCCAGGCTCCTCCGGCCCTGGGATTCTCCAGGCAAGAACACTGGAGTGGGTTGCCACTGCCTTCTCCGAATGAGACTCCCCAGCAAGGGGATGATCGCACAAGTCTCTAGACCAACCTCACCCACCGGGGAGCAGACACCAGAAGTAAGAGGAACTACTTTAAAATTTCTGAATTGTCAAAGTCCTTCATAACAAATGACACTTTACTGATACATGTCATTTAAATTTTTCTGGTACACTCAGACCCCAAAAGCTATAACTGATGCTACCTCTTCTTCCCTCTCTCACCCTTACACTTTCACACTCTCATCGTTTCACTCCTAGATTTTGATTTGCCAGTTTCTAGAGAAACTACTAATATATAGGGCATTTCCTTCTTCTGATTTTGAAATTGACATAATATCTATGTGAGGCTTTGTGAGAGAGATGTGAGAAAGGTACAGATCATTGCTTCATCCCATAAATTACTTTTTTTATCCTATTAAATCGCTGATAGATTTACTTCTGCCTTGGAGAAAAGTTTAGTTAAAAGACATTTCAAGACAAGTTTTGATTATTCTTAATGAAGACAAATACATTCAAATAAATTGCAATTAGTTAATTCAAATTAATCATTTAAAAATTCAGGTAAAGATTTAAAAATAAAAGTTAGTGCAAGTTTCTCCTAAATATATATACACACATACATAATTATATGTGAGATATATAATTATATAATATATATAATTATATGTTTAAAAGAAATATATTTATATTATTTATATATTTTTATGTGTTTATATATATATTTCTCTTTTGAATAATACTTTAGAGTTACATAAACAGTCCTGTGGTCTCTTTTATGTTTGACACTATTATTATTTCCCATTAATGGGGATATTTTCTATACAGATTTTTTTTCACTAAGAAGTTGAGCGCTATCTCATAACAAAGACAGCTTGAGAATGTGTGCTAACAAAGTCAAACACTGGAAATGAATTTCACAGTCCTCCGCACTGCTCATTCTCACCTCATGAATCCACAAGTGTCTATGAATTTGAAGGATTGCTGCTGGTGGATGATCTCACCTTCCACACTTCCACAGTCTCTGGTTACGCTTTTTCTCCTGTAAATGGCTCCCTGTACTTGGGGCTGCAGTGCCAACTTTCTAGACAGGCGTAAATTACTGCCTTGTCTCCCTTCCCCTCTTTCTTCATTTATATTTCATACTGTATGACAAACCTGAAGCGGCTGAGTAATGGATGGTGCCTACTTATTGTTTCCTTCGTGCTCTGGGTGTTTTACATGTCTGAAATAACAAACCGTACTAGAGGTCGAAGGACTTGAACATTTGTAGGAGGGAATCTTTGGTTTTATAAAGGCAGCTGCAAATTAGACTAATTGCTAACTGAAAAGAATGTCTGCAATATGTAGTCAGACAAAATAAGAAAAATTTAGAAAGGCCAAAGTAGTAAAGTATACACTTCCTTTTACATAGCGCATTGAGTCATTGGCTGAGCTGACATTCCTGCTGTAAACTCACTCATTTTCATAAATTTCTTTTTTCCCATTTTAGGAAGAAGACAGATGCTTATGTCATGCCAGCCCCAGTACCTAACCTACATCCTAATGGGAAGGGCAGTGCGGCAAATACTCTCTTTCTCTTACTTGGTTCATTTTAAATTTATAGACTTTAAAACTATTTATCAACTAACTTCCTTCCTCCCTCCCTTCCTTCCTCTTTTTCCCAAATAATCTTAAATTTTCTCCTGAGGGGAATACCAGTTTTCTCCTCACTGTTCATGTAGTACGTGCTCCCTACAAATTCTTTTTCACCATAAACATAGAGGCTGCGGATGCCTTTTTTTAAAAATTCAAAACAACTAATAGTGGTAAACTCTGTAACTTCTTTCAAAATATATTCTGCAAAATAAGTGCTTGACATTATATTGGAACTAAAATGCTCAAATTAAGAGAAGGAAGGAAATGAGTATTTATTCGAGGATCTACTATGTGCCAGAAGTTTTCTGTATATGAATTCTTTTAATCCTCATCACAGCACTGGGTGAGAGCTTATTCTTTCCAATTTGTGTTTCAGCAACTGAAATTGAGACACTTGGTAGCTCACGCAGCATGCCATAGCTACCAAATCTGTATGACTCCAAAGTCATACAGATTTAGGATGACTTTCCCATTTTCTTATATACCAGTGTCCCCTCCCTTAATTTTGCAAATGAGACCCATGAGGTGCAGAGAGACCAGGGGGCTTAAACTGGTGTCTGGGTTTGAATTGGATAATAGGTCCTTTGACTCAGTTCATCCCACTAAGAATACAAAGATGAGGGGGGGGGAAACTCATGAAATTGACCCTAAAATTAAAATTCACATGAAAATGTCTAAGAAAATTTACCGTGTTCATTTTTTTGAGGCATGGAATCTGTTAATATATTTCCTGTCTGTTACTGAGAAGAAAATCTCATGTGATTCCTCCTCATGTTTCTTTTCCTTTAGTGCCATGAATGTTATTTTTAAGGAATTTTGTATCTGGATGCTGGCTACACAACTTTCTCATCTCCATGGCACTGGGGCATAGGTCAGATTGTGCTGGGCCAAACTCCAAATATATAGCATGAATTTTCTATTTTACAGCTATTAAGGCAAACTGACCTCAGAAATTTGTGCAACCGTTCAAAGAATGAGCCTTATCTTATTCTTATTTCTCTCTCTACCTTTTTCCTCCAACATCAGAACTGGAACACAGAAGCTACTCCTAGTACAGTGATTATTTTTGCATATGTTGCTCTCTTTTCCTCCTACCAGAGTTTACCTTAGAACAAGAATTCCACAGTTGCTAAACAGATAGAGGTTGTGCATGGCTGTTACTATATTTACAGATGAGAATACAAGATTTGGTAGGTGAGAGGTTGGGAGAAAGGATTGAAAGGTTCAAGGTTAAGATTTCTTATGCCCATTGCTTTGAAGAGTTGCTAAAGAAACAAAAACCACATAACAAAATCTGAGCATCTTTCTCAGCCCCTGGAAACCTGCCCCAGAGGTGTGCAGCAAGTGGTCTCCACATTCTCCATACCAGGCCAGCTTGCCTACTCGCTGTTTCTCAAATATACCTCATCCTGTCTCTTCTCTGAGCTTCTTAGTAAAAGGTTCCCTCTGATATAACTGTCTTCTCTTCCTCCACTTCTACCAATCACATTTCTACACATCCCTCAACACTGGGTGTAAATGCTGCCCACTCCATGCAGGCCTCTCATGAACTAAGGGTCAGGAATCCCTTTTGTCTGTGACTGTGGCAGCCGGAATACAGATCTTCTGTAGCACTTACCACTTACTCTACTAAATTTGGAATGCTTTTATGTCATTGTATATTCTTTATAAGGTTAACAATTGTTTCTATATATCCAAAAGTATAATCCTCATTCCATTTTTTTGTTTTTTCACTTGACTTCATTCACTTTTCACTTGACTTCTAGGACCTCATGCTGTCTCAGTTTTCCTCCTCGCTCACTGGCCATTTCTTCTTGGTGTCTCGTTCCCTCCCTCTCTTTGGGTTCTGGCTTATCAGTCTGGACTCTTCACTATTTAGTAAAGCTTCGTTTTGGCACTTGATCAATATCCACTCACTCCCAAGATGATCTTATAGAATTTTACAGCTTTAAACATCATCTCAGTGCTGACGACTCTCAAATACATGTATCCAGCCTGGACCCTGACCTTGGCTCCAGATGGTTCTCCCCACCTGTGTGCTGAGTCATCTTCACTTTGCCTCCTCACTTGGCATCTCTGTGAAATGTGTCCAACACAGAACTCCCAATACCTGCCCCCACTGCCATCCCTCAAAACTTGCTTTACCTCCTACCTTCTCTTCTGTAGTAAATGGCAACTGACATTTTAGAATCACTGATTCATCTCTTTCTCTTAATTTATGCATACAGTATTTCAGCAAATCTCAAGTATATATTCAGACTCTACTTCTAGTCATTTCTTGTCTATGACCCTGATCCAAGCCATAATTATCACTCATCTGGGATACTCAGTACCTTGATGACTGGTTTCTCTCTCTCTACATGCACATCCTACTCTGTGTGTGTGTATACAACAGGGCAACTATACTGATTTAGGAATAATTAGAAGATATTGCAAAGCAAAAGAAACCATAAACAAGATGAAAAGATAACCCTCAGAATGGGGGAAAATATTTGCTGACAAAGGATTGATCTTCAAAATATACAAATAGCTCATGCATCATCAAAAAAACAACTCAATCAAAAAATGGGCAGGAGACTTATATAGGCATTTCTCCAAAGAAGCCACACAGATGGCCAACAACACATGAAAAGATGCTTAACATCACTATTAGAGAAATACAAATCAAAACTATAATGAGGTATCACCTCACAGTGGTCAAAATGGCCATCATCAAAAACATCTACAAACAATAAATGCTGGGAAAGGAAATAAATCCTACAATGTTGACTGGAATGCAAACTGGTATAGCTACTATGAAGAAACAGTATGGAGGTTCCTCAAAAAACTAAAAATAGAACTACCACATGACTCCACTATCCCACTACTGGGCATAGACCTGGAGAAAACCATAATTCAAAAAATGCATGCACCCCAATGTTCACTGAAGCACTGTATACAATAGCCAGGACATGGAAGCAACCTAAATGTCCATCAACACAGGAATGGATAAAGAAGATGTATTACATATATAATAGAATATCACTCAGCCGCTTTGTCCCAATAGGAACAAAATTGGGTGGACCTAGAGACATGGATGGACCTACAGAGTGTTATACAGAGTGAAGCAAAGCAGTCAGTCAGAAAGAGAAAAACAAATATGTATATTAATGCATATATATGGAATCTAGAAAAACGGTACAGATGATCTTACTTGCAAAGCAGAAGGAGACGCAGGTGTAGAGAACAAATGTATGGATACCAAAGTGAAGGGGGAGGGTGGGAGGAATTGGGAGATTGGGATTAATGTAGGTACAATACTGATACTATGTATAAAACATAACTAATGAGATCCTACTGTAGAGGCGCTCTGGGAACTCAGTGCTCTGTAGTGACCTAAACGAGAAGGAAATCAAAAAAGGGGATATACGGATAGCTGATTCACTTTGCTGTACAGTAGAAACTAACAACGTTATAAAGCAACTATACTCCAATAAAAATTAATTGAAATAAATAAGTAATTTTTTAAAAACTTAGATAATGTTTTCTCTTATTCAGCCCCTCCAAAGGCTCCCATCTTGCTCACGGTAAAAACGCCTTTTCAGTGGCCTTCAAGACCTACTATAACTTGGCTCCCTGTTACCTCTATGAACTCATCCTATGCTTCGTCCCATTCCAGGTGTTCAGTTACAGCATCACTGGCCTCTTCTTCAAGTGTTCAGTGTTCCTCCACTTCAGGGCCCTTGTTGTTCCCTCTGTTGGGAAGATCTTCCACAACCAACTATATTGTTTGCACCTTCATTTTCTTCCCAATCTTTCTTCACCTTTTCCCATTATAATCTTGTTTCCCCCAATACTAAGTTCCCTGGTCATCCTATTTAAAAGTCAGCCCACCCCCCAGCACACTCTCTCCCCCTTCCCTCCCTGCCTGTTACTGGTGTTTGTCTCTGTTTTTCTTAGTTTTCATAACCCACCTTTCAGATTGTGCAAGAGGGCCTGGCCCAGAGTGAGTGCTCCATTAACATGTTCAGATTTGTTGAATTAATTCCACAATGCCTTCCACACACACAGTAGGTGCTCACTACTTTTTAATCAACAACATGAACCTCCAAATTATATTTTACACCAGAAAGGGGTACACAGATTTTTTCCATTTCATGAATTTTTCAGTTAGCAAAAATTGAAAGTGGTTGTATATCAGAAACAGGTGTGTTTCATCTGTATATAGTAAAACACTAAGTTTCAAAGAGTGGAAAATTTTGGTCGTTCATAGCAGAAGGAACTATTGAACCAACAACAGGTTCACTGAGCCAATAGCCATGTTAAAAGAATATAGACAGTGCCATATAACTAGGGAAATGCTCATTCAAATGCTTTAAGGGTGCCTTTGATCATGTTTAATTAAAGAAATTTAAAAATGTACTTTTCATTTAAAGTTATCTTGACACAACCATAACTTAGCATTGTTTTTTCAAGCATAAAAACCAGAAAAAGATAAAACATGGTGGCCTTCTACTCTAAACCCTATAAAAAATTTATACCCCACCCAAATGAAACAGTTACCAATAAGACGTTTCTGAGTGAAAGGAAGAGAATTTGTAAGAGCCATTCACACCATAACAGACGTGCTGTCTTGCTTCAGCCTTATTTTATATTTTTCCTTTACCCTTTCCTCTCACTGATGACCCTGTGGCATAACGTTTCATTTCAAAGATTTAAAATAGGACATGGAATCCTTAAGAGCAATTGAACAGAGCAATCTATCATGAATTTTGTGACTCTTATACAACATGCATAGTTTCCCTGGGACCAAGATAGTTTTGCCCTCAAATTGGCCCAAATTCCCTGTACAACGTCATCCTCCTTGCCCAGAAATACTGATAGAATGGAAATAGATACCACTCAAATTTAAAGAGTTACTCAATTCCAATCCAAAAAAAAAAAACCTACTGCCAATCCTCAGGGGTCACTGAGTTTAGGATCTAGAGATGGATATTCTCATCTTCACTTGTCAGAACACTGATCTGCAAAAAACTCTAGATACGATTTTGAACTGCCTAAGCAATTTTCACCACCTTCACTGTAAGCATCTAGAGGATTTACTGACAAAAGTATACTGTGCATGTATTTTTAAAAGCATTAGATTGGCAAAAATACCCTGGATATTTGAGCATACGCTCCTTTGTCTCTTTCCCTTAACCCTGCCAGACCTCCTTAAGATATATGCCAAAGAGAAGCCCCCATCCTCCTGTGTCCATGATGAATGATTTGGAAACAGTCCAAACAGTAAGGGAGGGATTTAACATAGTTTTCTTGACTCTAGCCCCATTTATTTATGAGAAGGTTGTGAGGAGATTTGCAGGGAAAGTAAAATATTCCATAGTATGGCTTTTTATTCAGACCTGTGCTTAGGAATAATCATTGCTGTCACCGCTTCAATGTTCAAGAGGGAAAAAATACTTCTGTAACCCACATAGTACAAAAAATAAAAATAAAAAAGCAGTCACGGGAAAACCAGGAATTGTGCAGACTGATGGTTTGATTCTTTCTAGCTTATTTTATCATTATCCTCTGCTCTAAAACTTTACTTTTCTTTAAATTCCATCACACTTAATCTTTCTATTTCCGTTCTCTCTTCTCCAGTTGTGTGTATGTGTCTGTGTGTGATAATAATACTCACAGTACTTCATTATTCCTCAGAATACCTTCAAGAGTAAATGCCAAATAATCTGTCCATTTGGTAAATGATGAAACCAAAACACAGAAAAACGTTCAATAACATTGATAGGGAAAGAAACCTAATGGCAGGGAGAGCCCAAATGCAAACTTAGATGCACGCCCATGACTTCAAAACCTTGTAATCACCATATCTACTTGTCCCTTTTTGTAAAG